TTTTATTTTTTTAAATCTCAGGAAGTTTGATATACAAAGAAAGAGCAGAGCAATCACTGAGCTCCAAAACACTAGAGGTGGGACCAGGTACCATGAAAGAGTTAGCATCCCTATCGAACCTTCTTTTTTCTTTTTTTTTCATGAAAATATGACAACAAAGATTTGGGGCAATGACATCCGCAGATGTCCCCCTATAATAACCCTCACCAGGGGTGCCAGGGGCTCCCTAGATTAGATAGCAAGATAATATATGTATGAAAGATGTAATAGGTATTTAAATCAATAGAGTATAATATAATCAAATGGTATGTTGACAATAGCAAAATAATATGTATATGTTTGAAAGATATAACAGGTATTTAAATCAATAGACTGAGTATAATATAATCAAATTATATGTTGACAAAGTACTTATACAAATACAGATAGAAAAATTTTGTTGCTATGGGGAACACAAAAAAAAAACACTGTCCAACACACCCCTTAGCAACATGTATAGAGGGCCAGGTCACCCTCATATACTCCATATATAGATTATATCATACATATATAAGTGTATACATACAATAATTACAAGTTTATTGCCAAAGATTTTACAATATGAAATTGTATGTGATGCTTAGGGATCGTTTGGTGACTAAATAGAATTTCATAAGAGCATTTTTCAAAAAGATTAACATGTCTTCACTTGTAATATTATTTTTCATAATTCTACATTTCATTTTGTATTTGAATATTTTACAAGCAATAAATGATAAGACATTATTCAAAACAAAAGTATTGTAGTTGATACCATGACTGAAACCCACAACAATATTTCTCCAACTAATATCTATCCCTATGATTTCAGAGACTTTGTTCCATATTAATTTAACTTGAATGCAATCAAAAATCAGATGCTTAGAATTCTCTTCACTGCGACATACTGGACAGTATTTATCAATATCTTTATTCCATTTACTGAGGTAGAGATTATTCGGTAATAAATTATGTACTAGTTTATAATTAATTTCAGCAACATTTTTATCAAAAATTTTTCTAATTTTTTCCTCATACACGTTTTGCCATTGATTTGAGTAATTGATATTAAACTCTTTTGACCATATAGTTTCCATAATTGGCTTTTGAGACCTTTGTTGCAACAAAATTTTATAGAAAAATTTTGATGTTTTGTCTTCAATGTTTTCTTTTTTATCATGAAATTTAAAGGAAAATGAATTACATGTGTCGTTAATATTGATGAAAGAAGTATTACTCGAATTTATACCGTGCCATTTACTAAAGATTGTTTTAATAACTAAGTATTCACAAAGATATTTTTGTTTTTGGTTAAGTTTTTTCTGAATTTCTGTGAGTGATTTGAGTCCATTTTCATCAAAAAGATCTTTTACATATTTAAAACCACTTTCGATCCAATTTTTGAGATAAATAATTTTTCCTTTGTGTTTCAAATCCTTATTAAACCATATGTTTTCACGCAAAAGTTGGTTCGATGCGCTTATTTGATTTTGTGCTTTACACTGATTAAATGCACAAAAAACTTCCTTATATCGAACCTTCTTACCATCCATGTGCTTCTTGTCATGATCAGGAAATAATTATCTATTCAATGTGTTAATAAGGACCTTACAGTTGGTGTTAAAAACAATAGTCTGCATTTGAATTAATTTAGTGATAAATTGTAAGTGTTGCCATGGTCATTGTATCGCCCATAGAACTTAAAGATGACGATTCAAAACGAGATTGTTGACATTCTTATTACATTAACATGTTCATCAATAATTTATTTCGTTATAGAAATTATCTACACTTACAACATAAATATTGTATTTGTTTTTTAACAAACTTTATATGTATCACCTAAGAATCGAGTTATGAAAAATAATTAAACCCTATTTATTCACTAATGTGTACACTTAAATAAATTTTATCTCCTGTTATATCATTCAATATGTTAATACTTTTCAAAATAATTATTTCTGAAAATAAAAAATAAACGGCGCTTATCTGTATAGAACCTTTGTTCGATAAAAAGTGTTTCCATGTGCTCACAAGCAGTCGGATTTTGTCAGTTATAGTCTCATTATATAGCGAGACAATCTGAAATTGTTAAATTTATTTCAGAAAAAACACCCCTAGTTCATTTTTGACTGTTTTCATTTTTTTTTTTAGAGAAAATGTACTATCTTACATCAAATTATATTTACATACTGCATCATAAGAACAAACCACTGATATAATGCATTTTCAACAGTTTTACTGGAATCAAGAGAAGTTTTAATTCAAAAATGAAATTTTAATCCTCCTCACTCAATTTCATTTGATGTTTTCCATTCCCTAAAAGTGAAAAAGAAAAACCTGTTTATAGAAATTCAATTAATTCTGCTGATTTTTTACAATAAGCTAATAAAATTTAAACTCACATTTCTATTTTTATTGCTTCATCTCAGTTTTCAAGAATCTTTTCCTGAAATCCGCCTCCTGTAACAAATGTACGAGTAATAATTGTTTTTGTGTACAAACATATTGTAAACAATCATTCTTCAGTTCTAAATATAGAGGAACATAAAGTAGACTTACTCTCATTTTGTTTATTTTTTCCACCGGGTCACTTCCATCTTCCTTTTAACAAATGAAACATTTTTATCTTCAGAAGTTAAACTCAAATTTTAATAAAGATACAGTTAGTCACGCTGAAGTTAACGAGACCATTTCAAGTTTGACTTTGCACGACTTTTCACATTTTTCTTATTTATGCAGTCCTGGGTGGGTCATTTTAAGAATTCTGTTTTCAATTTCAATAAAACTTGATCTGTTACGTCAAATAAGTCGAATGGTGCGTTTCAAGCATGATAATTTTGCAATTTTGAAAGTTTCTTTTAGGTTTAAGTAGTACATAAAATCCGGGAGTAGATTCAATAATTTCTTCTTTAGAAACTTTTCGACAAAATTTAAAAAAAAATCATTCTAGAAAAATTATCAAAATATATAGGAAAGAAATTATTAGACTCGACCTCCTTAAAGCTTGGATTCAGTGGAATTCGAAACAAATCGTAGTTCAATTATCAAAACAACGTACTTAAAAATATTCTCTTTGGAATCGAAAATGACCACATAAAAATTACCTTTAATATATCCAGAGAACGCTTGCTGCAGTAACAAAATCCATTGTAGCAAGCACACCATTGCTTCTTTTTAGCGTCCGTCTCTTTCATCAAGCAAAGCAGCATAGCAAAGATTACGACACATGCAATAAACTTCATCTGAAAATATATTGCCATGATTATTTAATTAGGACCTTAACCTATTCCCCTATGTACGGACACAGTGAATAAAAGCATGTTCAAGTTTTATTTTTTACTTTCCTTTTTGAAAATAGAAAAACATAATTGTTTGTATTTAAATTGACAAAAAATGAAGTTAAAAATAAATATTTAACAGATATTAAATAAAAATAATTGTTTAACTGATACGAAACCCCTTCGTGAAGCCACACACTGAAACACGAACGAAGAAAAAAGAACTGTTTCCCATGAGATATTTAAAGAAAAGTATTACTTACGATATGTCTGTTACACTTACGATTTGCGATTTGAATTCTTCTTTGTCAGCAACTCAAACCAATGAAAATTTGGCAGAATTGTTTTCAATTTATCTTTGAAAAGTATGAACAGCTGGTTACTCTTCTGATATTGAATTGTATAACTGAGAAGAGAAACGTATAAACTAGTGTAATCTGAGAAAAGATATGTTTGTTTTAAGCCTTATCGTCTTTACTTTATTTTGCAACTTGTATATTCAGCATTAGTTTGACTTTTAATTGGCGAGATGTATATTTACTCTTTAGACACATCATCGGTATTACAAGTCAAAAATGATTTTTTTTTTCCTATTAATATGTAAAAATTTGACTTTAAAAGCATACAGAATAAATTCATATAATCATAGCGGTTCTTCAAACCTTACAAGGCTATAGATTTTGTATTTCCATGAGACAATTTTCTTTGAAAACTTTCACAATTTATTTTTTTTTTAGAAGAAAGTATGATAATAGCATTCTATTTATTAAAAACAATCACTATTAAAACTTATGGCACAAATCCGTTTCATTTCAAAAATTGTCCGCTAAAAATTCCCCGTGTTGTTTGCAGTCATCATTTTGTGAGTTCCGTTGTCGATACAATGACTTAATCAGCGAATATAATTTATTATGAAGTCAAATGCTGACAGACGTTTTTCATACTGTTAGGTCATTATTTACACACCGAACTTTGCAAGGATTTTTCTTTTATTTCCGACCATAATGTTGAACACATGGTGGGTATTACCTGTCGGCAGGGGATGCTCACTCCATGGCATCTGATCCCACATCTGAGGTTTTGGAGGTCCATGTTTGCTCTTCACCTACATGTATTTTGTATTGTATAATTAATTGAACTCTAAAGCTTGGGTTTTGTTTGTTATTTCCATCTATTTTATTTATTATTTAATTTTTTTTTTATCAGAAATGCGGTGCATTTTGAAAATAAATAATAATAATAATAAAAAACAAAAAAACAATGTGCATTGATGCCGAATGCTGCTTTAATTTATAGATGAGCTAAGGATACTCTCCTTTGCGATGCAATTGTTTCAAGAACTGTTAGTGGTCAATTTATTATTTTCTAAAAGGGTTCGTTAATTGACCGAATGGGTTGTTTAAAAAAATAAATGGGCGAATTTTGTTTGCTCATTGTATTTCAAAATCTAAGCCCCCAACATGATGTGACTAAACTCAAAAACAACGCTAGCTAGGTTACATGATTGTAAGATATTTGTATATAATGTAACGAAATTGAATACAGAAATCAGGGTTTAAAACAAAAATATCTTGTGTCAGATTTCAATGGTTTAATTTTTCCTTCTTAATGACAGAATTCAATAGCAAGAGGGGTACCAGCTGTTCATCAATTTCAGGTATAAATTTTGTCAACGTTCCTCTATATTTTCGCTGGTTTGAAATTGCTTGCAAAGAAGAATTCAATTCGCTTATCGTAAGTAATATTTTTTTTATATATATTTATTTTATTCAACGACAATTTTATCAGGGTTTTTCCCCTCTCCCTGTCGTTGTTTTAAGGTGTCTGGTTATGTAATCGTGTTACATTGTACATTTCAGTCTCTATTAAATGATCTTTTTTGTCTTGTGTTATGTTTCTCCATTTCCTTACATTAAAAAATACATTTTTTTATTATTTTTTCTGAAAAAATTAACTTTTATTCCCTGTATCCGTGTTTAGGGAAATGGTTTTAAGACAATTTTAAATATTCCTAATGACATGTTTTCAGATGAAGTTTATGACATGTGTCGTTATCCTTGCTATGCTATTTTGCTTGATGAAAGAGGCAGATGCAAAGAAGAAGAAATGGTGCGTTTGCTACAATGGACTTTGCTACTGCAATAAGCGTTCTCTGGATATGTTGAAGGTAAAGGCTGACTTAGATAGCTATTTTTCCAGTAAAATAATGAGAGATATTGTAGACAGACAAATTGTGTTAAATTTCGGAAAAAAGATACACAATCTGGTTTGTTTTAGAAATTCTTATTTTTCTCATGCCCAATACTTGCACTTTTCCAATAAATCAGACTGATATTTTACATGTAAAGGTGCAGAAGGGCCATTTTTGTTCGCAATTCAATGTTTATTTAACTGGAATTTCAATCTTTTATCAACATATTTTCATGTCCATGGACGTAATAAATACACTTAAAATACGTTATCAGACCTAGACCTTTCAAGAAATGTTTTATTGTTATTTATATCTTAATTCATACATGAAAGGGGTAATGACACACCCATTAATACATGAATTAATATCATGTTGTAAAAGAGGAGGTAAATACAAAATTTACAACATTATAACCTCCCCTTAGTAAATTCAAAATTTAAAACATCATGTAAAGAAACTTCGAAAAGCCACGTGCAGTCAAATTGAAAATGGTCATGTTTAACACACTGTAATTTATTGAATCTCCATTCAAATTTGATTTTGCTTACTAATTTAAAGAAGCTTTTATTTGCTTAAAGGAAGATGGAAATGACCTTGTGGAAAAAATGACAGTAAGTCTTTTTCATGTATTTTTTAAAATAATTTTTGATCCACGAACAACGGTCCCCTACGAACATTGATGATTTCACAGTAAACAATTAAACGCGTTATTACATTTGTCACAGGAGGCGGACTTCGCTAAGAGATTATTGAGAGCTGGGATGAAGTAATTTGAAATCAGAAGTGTGAGTAAATTTTACTGTGAATTCTTTGCAAAGATCATCAGAATTAATCATTTTTTAATACAAGTCTGATTTTTTTTAGGACTGAAAGACGTTTAATCGAAACAAAAGAAGAAGTGGAAAAACATTGGTGTCTTGAAAATTAATAAATCTTAACTGATTGCATTTTATCAATGAGTTACTGTTCGTTATCTCCATATATCAAATCAACATTTTCTAAAGAATGTTAGGGTTTATTAATTTTACCCTGCTACGTCGTCTGTCTGTACATGTCTGTCAAACTTTCTTCCTCCGCAAACTCTTCTTTAGTTTAACCAATTATTATCTTTCAAAATATAATACGCAGTGTCTTATAGATAAGCAAAACGCTTTTGGTATATTATCAAGTTAAATTCTGAGTCACATTCTTCATACTCATTGTATTAGGTTATTGTTGAATTGTCTACGAAGTATTCCGTTATTTTCGGATTACGCAACTTTGACAGGTGAGCAGGGGATGCTATACCTTCATGGCACCTAATCCTTCGTCTAATGTTTAAGAGATCCGTGTTTGCTCCGTTCCTTATTTGTATTGTTTGAAGGGACCATTAAGCTTAATCATTGTTCTTTTTCCCCATATACATGTACTTAAAATGGTTATTCTGTTTTATACTTGGGATTTGAATATACTAAAATATTCGATATAATCAACACTTTCGCCTACGCGCTTTATGTTCAAAATTGAAAAATATCATTGAACAGCACTGTCATAATAAACTGTGTGAGATCACAATAATATGTCAACTTGTTGCCTGTGTTTAATTTCATAGCTATCGGTTACATACTGAAATCAAAACAAACGGGAGTATACTGCAGTAGATGTGATTTTGCTGGCCTCCCCTTCCTGATACATGTAGTTGCGTATTATTATAACTGAAAAAAAATCTTTAAGGAAAATAAACATTTCAAACATCAAACAATGACAATGCATGAATAATAAAATATAGATGAGTGGACAATCGGCAGTAGAAAGTATAACATTGGATTGGATGACAAAGCATTACGATTTTATCCATGCAAGTACCTGGTATGTAAGAAGGATATTGTGTCATCATTGTGTGGTCTAAAGTTTTCTCTGTGAAGTGCCAATACAGAACTGGAATACAGAATGCATTGTGTCCTATGATCTGCATGATGAATATTTCATTTCATAAGTAATTTGCAATTATACAGAAGGTTTTCATTTTTTTTTAATTCTTCAACAAACTAGTTTACAAAAAAAGAGTAATAACTGTATTATTAAAACTGAAAATAGAAAACGCATTCAACAATCAAATATTTCAGAGATACAACATGTATACATATATGCAAAGTATATCCTCTTTAGAATGAATATAGATGCATCATAAAATTTCTAGTCATTTTTATGGCTCACCTGAGCTGAAATCTCAAGACAGCTTTTCTGATCACCCGTCGTCTGTCTGTCCCTCTGTCTATTAAACTCTTCACATTTTCAACTCCTTCTCAATAACCACTGGGCCAAAGCTGAAACTGTGGTGGAAGCATCGTGGGGGGGAAGGGGGGGGGGGGTTAGTTACTAGTGTATATTCTAAATTGTTCAAGCCATGACCCCCAGGGATGGCACGTGGCAAAAATAATACGTAAAACATAGAAAATCTCAGTGTTATTGGTTGTTTAGATACATTTTATTTAAAATTAATGAAATGCAATTAAAAAAATGAATCAGATTCATCAATACGAATAAATAATTGTCTGGACTGTTATTTGAGTATATCCGCAGTGTCAAAGGGACATTGACCCATTTATTTGGCTGTACATATATATATATTTACACTCTCTACCTCTCTATCGCTTTCATGTTTTCAAGTTAACTGTGTGGTGGAAAGGTTGATAAACAATTAAACTATGAAATACCGGTTTATCATTTTTTAAAGTAGTAATATCAGTTTCATGCATTTGAACCAATGCTATATTAATATTTCATTCGTAAAAACAAATATTATAGTTTATAGAGTTACTCAGAGTGTTAGCTCAATTAAAAAAAGATAAAATTTAATAAATTTAATAAAACATATATTTTGCGTTTAAACGCAATACAATATTGCGATTAAAGGCGGTAATTATTGCGAATAAACGCAAAAAGTATTGCTTTTAGTCGCTAAATTATTGCATGCGTTGAAACTCAATAATCATGATAATTATTGCGACTAGAGCCGAGCTCGTTGCAAAGCAACGAGTAGGTCTTCCGTCGGAGCTGCGGACAGGGAGAAATGACCTTGGGTCAAGGTCATGCCACATTCTAATGTTAAAGCAATCTTTTAAGGGTAGATGTCATCTTATTTATGTTTTACTATTAAAAAAGATAGTAAAGGAATGTTTGCGACCTTGACCTTGTTAAAATGACCTTACGTCACACCATGACACACGCTGGTGATAAGCAAAGCCATTTGTGTGCTACCGTATTGACGAATTCTTAAGTTATACTTTTTTCGATAGGCCTTGTCACAGCTAATACGTGTATACATGTGTAAATCTAGGTATGAAAGCGTTATCCTTTCTTTATCAAAAGTCATGGTCAATTTTAAGCAATGTTTAAAGCCGGTTAAACTTCAAGGTCAAAGTTCATTATATGCTAGTATTTGAAATGATTTTATCACAGGTCACATACATTTGATTTTTGTGTAATACGAAAACCCTATCTCTTCTCATTCAAAAGTCATGATCAAGATTAAAATTGTGAAAAGTAAGTCAAGCCTCAAGGTCACGTTGTCAAAATCAGCGTATTGGTATTTTAAAAAAATGTTGTTACAGGTAATACACAGTGGTAAAATAAAAGCCCTAATCGATCTCTTTTCTCTCAAAAGGTATAACTATGGTTAATGATTTTGAAAAGTGGGTCAAACTTCAAGGTCAAAAGGGTAAAAAATCATAATGAATTTTCAAAGGCGTTGACACAGGTATTACATGTACATGTTTATAAAATGAAAGCTTTCAATAGTTATGGTCAATTTAAAGTAATGTTATTTTTTAAGTAGGTCAAGATCAAGGTCACGGGGTTAAAAATCACAGTATATTTGAAAATTACATTTCACAAAAAATGCACATGTGAAATATGAAAGTCCTATTTCAACTCATTCAATAGTTATTATCAAGTTTAAAGTTCTCGTGACAGATGGACACTGTCAGACTGGTTGACAAATAAGGTTTAATGTGCCCTAATAAAAATAAATACACGTTATTTGAACATGATGAATTGAGAAATACGAAGAATAAAAAACTAGAAAATATTAGAAAAAAATTGCACTGAAGATATATTCAATATCCGTGTTTTTCAACTGCTTGAATCTAAAAATATTATTTACCGTGTGTCTCTAACACATTCCTTAAATTTTTCTACAGTTAAACATTCCTTATAACCGTTTTTAATAGTCCTTCTGAGCCTGAACTTGAGATAATATGGATGGCACTGTAGCTCTCTGGTGATCCATCTCAATTTTTTTTAGAACAGCTAGCGAGCTACAGATCTGCACCATGACAATTGTCATAAAGTTAACTTTACAAATTCATTTGAAATGTAACAGAATTGAATTTTAAGAAAAGAATTATTTCTAATGCTTATTTTTAACATATGCTAAAATTATTTACCTATCAAGTTAAGTAAGACAGTAAAAAGGAATTTGATACTCAGTATTTATCTAAGGAATTAGTGTCAATCCTCAACCTCAAAGAGCCTTCGACTTGTATGATAATTGCGTATGTGTGATGAAACTGCCATGAACTATCCCGGACGTGAACATTAGATGTACTGGACATTCCGTCATCAAGAAAATATAGTTCTACTCTGGACTATTCCGAGTTACCAAAACGTTTGTACGTATGTCCATGTGTGAGCGTTTCAACCTGTCTTTGTTTTATGTGACTTGACTTGATTTGTTTTTCAAAATACAAACTTTAACGTTTATTGCTTGACTTTCGTTTTATAAATCACTTGTGTTACTGTCACCAATTATATTCTATTAACTTTGTTTAATTGTCGAAAATGCAATGCAAAATTCAGGATATCAAATGCAGCGAAAACTGGTACCCCCCCCCAAAAAAAAAAAACCCAGTACATTTAGTACATGTACACACTTCGATGCTCGATTGTACACTCTAGAAATTAAAAAGTTTATGAATAAAAAAGTTTAGTTAGGCATACTCATCTTTGCCGACCTTTTCTTAAATTTATTTGACAACCTGCGAATTAAAAACAATATAGCGTATGATTTTTGGTTAATATTATGATAGGTTATGGAGTAATCATGGATTTCATCACCAGCCCTGGCCTGCCATTCTCGACTCTGAAGGAAAGCATTGTATCATTTCAGGGGGGTTACGTGTCGCAGTGAGAGGAAATTTAATAATTTAATCTCTCTTAGGCCAATAAACACAAAAGAAAGGCTTGGAATATTTGTATGGAATAATTACAGGAAGAAATTTTGCATTTGTTAGAAGAATTTCTTATTATTCTTTTATTTCTCGTATTCTTAAAGCTCATGTTTGGTGCTCTTCTGTGTAAAACAGCATGTAGTTTAGTTAATATCATGTACATGCACATAAAATCGTGTCATTGTGATATTCTAGCTTTTTATTTGAGGAAATCAAAGAAATTTAAGATCATATCATTCGGAAAAATACAATGATAAGTTATGTAGCAAATTATGCAAAACTCAAAGTTACTTAATTTTATTTTCGATTTTCATGAGAATTGAAAACGTCACTTCCACTTACAATTTTCTGTGTGTATTTGTCATGTTTATTTGTAATTGCTACTTTAAACAACATCGCAATTTTTTTCTGAAATAAATTAAGCAACAATTAGAATAACTTGATATAGGCCCGTATACATATAACGATTGCAATTACTTCAAAGTTGAGAGGGAGACGACGGCGCCTAAAAAATGTGTACCTTAATTTCCAATAATATAGAATCATCCGTTCAAATTAAAAACAGTTAAGTTGCAGTAGTGATATCCCCGATTCTTTAAATAACGAAACTATATTGGACTTCACAAGGGTAGAATTCAACATTAATTTATGTACATGTGCAATTACAATCACTATCAAAATTGGCAGAGTTATCGATAGGTCATCCTGCGTCACCTTTCAGTGTAACCAATGGACTCGTCCAGAGAAATCATCTGTACCTGAGCAAAATCGCAGCGCCTTTTATTCATTCGTCAAAGAATATAATCAGACATTTTATCTTTTAATACTCTTACATGTTCAAGAAAGCCTTTATATTTGTGTCTAGAAATATTCTTACGATTTACGCAAATAACAAATTCTTGATTTTAAACTGAGTAAATCGATGACTAGCATCGTTTAAGATAACTCTGGGACTCGCGTAAAAATCAAAGAGCGGTAATGTTGACCTCCGGAATGTATATAGGTCAATGCATGTGCGATCGATAAACAGGTTGCACAACTGTAAACAAAGCAGTCAAGGTCCGAGGAAAATTCACGATGCCTGAATAAAATGACAGTGAATTATTTTAAGCTTAATTATTTTTTATTTATAAATAATGCAACATTGAGTATCAATCGAATGAGAGATGATATTAGTATTTTTCCTATCTCCCGTCTTGTAATTCAAACTAAATACAAGGAGAAAGTTGTCTCTGAATAATCTGTATGACATCCAGCTAGAAAATACGTTTAAAACTTTATTTCAACAAAGTTTAACATTCAGTTTAGTTAAGTATATATTCTTATCCAGTTTTTTTCAGCTATACGTGTTACACGCGTACGCATAAAGAATTCTTCACTTGCCGTATAAAACTAATCAGTTACCTGTACATAAAGTTTGCTGCTCATTCAATAACACAAGATTCGAACAAATTAACGTTTTCATGAGATCAATAAGATGTTAAAGAACCCATTTCAAATCGATAACCATATCGAAATATTTACCGTTTTTGAGTTATAAAGCAAAAACTTTCGAGCGCCCGTGACCCCTAATTTGAGGGGCCAGCCCCTTTTTAATGATGTCAAATGATAGATCTTAAAATTATGCAAAATATTTGTGAAATATGTCTTAACAAATTATTTTTAGTTTAAAAGGTTTACAAGGAAATAGATATAAAATTTGGCGCTTTTAGGCATTCTCATTTTTGACCCCTATCTAGCACAGTTTGGAGCGCAGAAATTGAAAAAGAAAAACCGATGTGCACAACTTCAATTCTTCTAGTATTTAAATGCAGTAGACATTCTGCTCCAGCTTTCGTCGTTTCTGAGCCTTTGTCTGGAAACGAACAGTACCAAATTTTCACTTAGATGGAAATAACTCGAAAGCGGAAGGGAATTTTTGAAATGCATGAAAACATTTTAATTGAGAGTTTTGTAACGTCCAAAAACTCTGAAAATTTGAGCGAAATCCGTTCAGAAATGAGCGAGTTACGAGGTCTCAAAGTTGGCGTCTAGGAAAAAAAAAGAATAATAGGGAATAATCTTAACCATCAGAAATCAGTAGAAGGTCTTCCGCCTGAGCGGAAGACCTTAATAAATCGCAATGTTATTGCGCAAAGAAATGAAACAAAAAATGCATTTTATGACGTTTTAAACTTAGAAAATGATTGACAAACAACACTGCAAAAACAGTTTTGAAAAAAATGCATTTTTCAATTAAATTAATAGTGGAAAAGTAAAATTATGGCCAGTAACGGTACAAGATTGAAGAGGGAAAAATATTCACACAACTTTAAAACCGGTTTAATCTTTTTTTTTTAACAATGAAGATATACCATGTTCCTTTCTTTCTTTTAATTTTCACGCAAAATAACTAAGTACATGTACCATTTTAAATTCTGCCGGCCTAGTCATAGTCCGACTTTGTTATGGCCCGACTCTGTTATGGTCCGACATGTCTGGTACCGGTCCCGCCGGAAGTAGAAAAGAAATCTTTCACCATGTGACATGTCTGAATTTGATGGACAAAACTTACCAAGTACTTCCAAAAAACCAAAGTTAGGTACTGTTTTTGAAAAATTTAGGGCACAATTTCAAGAGTTGGATCAGTTAAAAAGAGCGTACAACTCGTTGTGTTTTGACAGACGAAATCCACTAATTGCTCAGGAAATAACGTCGTGCAATGCAGCAGCAGGTTATGGAATAAACTTTTCTCGAGCATCGTGCGAAACACGTCCACATGCGGATGAGATATATCCATTTGGCATCATATTCACGGATGCAATTATGTTGCTGAATAACTTTTTTACCAAACCTGATTATGTTCCCAACAACAAGGCCTCCAGATTACTACTGGAAAAATTGATTCAATTTTTGATGGATGAAGGTGAGTATGTAATGTCTACGTGCATATACCATTAAACCTTGCATTTATAGTGTTATGTTAAATTTAACTAAATGTCTCAATGCATTTTTAGCAGATTCCTATGTAACTTAAAACAAAGATTGTACTTTTTCTAAAGGGAGGGTAATGAACGCATGACTTAAGTTGACGATGTAACAGTTAGGGCGAGCGCAGATACTAATGCAGTTTTAATGAAGATCAGGCTCGTCAAACTCCACATGCCATTTGCTTTGTAAAGATGGACGTCACATTATGTCGTATGTTGTATTAAAAAATCGAAGTCCGAACACTGCGAATGTTAATCAAAAATGCTTGCTACTGCAAGAATGCAGTTTTTGGCAAGATGCGTTTAGCTAGGGAAAATGGGACAGTTTGAGACCACAGGTAACTGCAGAAAAAATTTCATTTTTATCTAATAGTATATGAACCTCCAAATTTTCTCTTTGCCCAGGCATTGTTTTAACTTTTAAGAGCTTGAAATGAAAAGCAGTGCTTTTGTTGAATTCAATTCAACTATACATTATGATATTGTTTTTATATTCAACATCTTTGATTCGACCAGCACAGGAATTTGTGTGCTTATCAGTTTTACCAAAATTTTTTAAATGTTTAGGAAAAAAAAAATATCATAATGTCATACCTTAAAAGATAACACAAGGTACATGTATGACATATTTTTGATTAACAAAAAATTTCGGTAAAATAAATAGGTACGCAGACTTCTGTGAATTCAGTTTATTAAGCATATGAAAATTTTTCTCATTAATTAAAATTGTAAAATTTAATTTTTTTAAAGATTCACATGCCGCACTGAAAAGAATGCAGAGAACAGATCTATCAAAGACTGGGCTAATGACTGTCTTGGCTGAACATTTTTTTCGCAAGCTTTCACTTTCTGACTTATATACAATGGATAATTCTGCGAAATACAAAGGCCTTTCTCTCTGCAAATGTGGATCATGCAAGCCAGAATATTTGTCATCTTGTTTTGGCGACACAAGTGTAGGTGAGTACTTTGGCTGTTCATTGAAAAACAATTGATATGATGAACAATCCTGTGTAAATGTAGTAACAATTTTTAATGTGTTTCTTGAAATATGAAAGAATTTTAAGTCCCCTGCTGACAAATGCTTAAGGAGATTGTAGTTTAAAACTCTATCCATAAATCAGTTAGAACAGAACAATATTATCAGTCCAGTCCAATACGAAAAATCGTAATGTTACGAAATATAGTAATATTACAAGAAATCGTAATATTACAAAATATCGTAATATTATTCTTATATTACTATTTTTCGTAATATAGTTAAATTACGGAAACTCGTAATATAGCAAGTTGAGAGAGACTATATTACGAGTTTTCGTAATGCAAGACAAAATAAAGCATTGAAAGAAACTGAATGATGTTTGTGGAAGTATGACGTCAGAAATACATTATGCCCCAGTGGTACTAGTATCACGTGGTCATTTTGGTCAGTGACGTCTTTCGAAAAGTATGGAAATGCACGAAGAAAGTAACAATGGTAATGGGTGAGTGAACATTTTGTTTTATTATTCTTATATAAGAATTTTCCCGAGGATAGGAACAATTTTCCATAAAATTTCAATGTATCCTAAAGCTTGTCACAATGGTCTATAATCCCCGAATTCCCTATATTTTTCCCGAAGTCTACCCTGAAAATCAGACCCTCATCTCAAACAACGAGATGTTACGAGAGATAACTTGTAAGACTCTCACTAGGCTCTGAATCCGCTTGCACTTGGATCAAATGCACCAAAACAAAGAAAATGCACTAACCATACATATTCACGATATCATAATGATGAAACCAGAGACCAATAATCTCTGATGAAACATAACAAAGAGGTTGTATCAGAAAAAAGGGAAGTAACTCTTAGAAGAGTTAGAAATTGCTTATATTACGAATTTTAGTAATATTACGATTTTTCGTATTGGACTGGACTGATTATCACAGATAAATCAATTTATGCCGCTATGGGAAAATCTGGTAAATTTTACACTGTCCGATAGTTACAGATTTTTTAGCCAGTCAAAACTATTGTTTTTATTGCCCCATTTCTTTAGTAGCCTGTATAACTGCATATCTGTGTTTAATTTTTTTTTCATTGCACTGACTATTAGGCTATTCTTCTCATATGAGGCATAAAGTTTATTTAGCTCTCCTCGACCAAGTCAAGAAGAGCCTATGCTATACTCCCAGCATCATCCTTTGTGTCCCAGTTAAAGTTTTTTATTTGTTTTGTTTATTTTGCTAATTTATGACTTAATAAAGATATAGCTTATTCAAATGAATTCTTTAACACTAGAATGCCTATATATTTTGTCAAAAAACATCAATATTTTGAGTTTGCTGCTGATTTGAGATGATTTTCGGCTAAGTAAATTGTAAATACATATACTTCTCTTGGAAGACTTGGTAGATTTGATACTTATAGTTAGATAAGATAATATTTATAAAAGCATGAAAATTGAAAAACATCTGGAAAAATTATTCCATATCATGGACATTTTAGTTGTCAAATTGTACAACTTCAACCAATTTTGCTAACACTAAGATTAATTTCCCTTAAATCACTGGATATTAAATAACAATGTACAAACTCTATTTCTTGCATTTTTTGTGCAACGCTGTAAATTATTGTGCAAAATCAGGGGAAGGTAAATCAGTATATTGATATTTAATAACTTTAACAAATTATTTTAAAAAAACCCACTAGTTCGGATGATGCCCCTGACTGATGATACTTGGTTAACTTGTTTTAACTTTGTTGTAGGGAATCCAGATTGCTGGCATGGGTCTTTAAATATCCTCCTTGGAAGTATGGAGTCTTTTGTACATGTGGCTCCAGTGGAAGAAGAAATCGGCCCAGGTGGCAGAACATCCATAGAGGTGAAACACAAAAGTGTAGAAGAAAGAGGATTCCGTAGCCAGACTTTAGCCCAGGCAATTGTGTTTTCCTTCCTGCAAAAGCAGAGACATCCTAATTTAGACAATTTTCTTATTCCTTGTATGGCAGCAACTAGAAATGAACTCAAAATTTATTTTTATGACTGCAAACATGATATTTTGCTTGAAAGTAGAAGCATTAACCTACTTGTGGAGATACCCGGCTCAAGATGTCAAGTGAATTATGAGGCAGTTCTTGCTGCTTGGCTTGTTCTGAATTATAAATTTTTGTGTAGTGGACCTCCGGAGTCATTACTTGAAGCTCCAAAAGCAAATTTTTTTAGCCTTGCTTCATCTAGCCTTGAAATGTATGAAAAAGATCTTGCATTTAAAAATGTTGTTGCCATGAATACTTTTGCAGACTATGACTTTATTGACATTACAAAGCCTAAATTTGTTTGGCCTTCAGATCTACCGTGTCAACCACTTGACTCAGAAAGTAATTAGATGAAGGACAGTGGTTAGAATTTCATTATCTATATAATGTCAAATAGAAGCAAATGAAATATTGATTTATCAAATGATCTGGATAATTAACATATGAAATGTACATGATGTAATGGACCTTCGTTTGTAAATGTCATCAAGCAGGTACATGTACTTCAAACATTCATTTGAAAGCCGGAATTATTACCTTATATTTTTTTTATAAGGCCAACAATAAAAACTATTTGAGTAATGTACTCAGACTGACCTGTCAAAATTGCCCCTACCCAATCATTTTTTCTCTTTGAATTTTCAAATTTTATCCCTTTAACAGTTTGAATTCCATAGACATTTTAAAGTGAAGGTATACATGTACATTGTAATTTCTATAGATGCTTTTTGATTTATAAAATATTAAATATATCTAGCTATCCAGTGTGAAAAGCAAACATCAATAAATTTCTGAGTCTTTAATTTAATGATAATTTGTTCAATATTGTAAAACAAAACAAAAAATCCACATAGAAAAATGTTGGTGTGAGTACATCAAATGAAAATATTTTTAATAATGGCAAACTTTTAGTTTTGTGTTTGCGCATATTTATGCTCATGTATGTTAGTCAACATGAAATTGGTTCTGAAACAAATTGCATTTGAACCATAATTCAAATCTTAGCTGCAAAGTCAATTGTCTATAGTGGCAAATGTTAAAAAAATCGTAGTTCTGAAAAAAAATGAAAAATGAAGGTTTATAAACAAAAAAAATGTTTAAAAAAGAATTCAGGTTTTGGCTGGAGGGCATAAAATAATACATTTTTAATGTTGACTTCCTAGTACAGAAAACCTCTAAAATTAAAAAGCTTAGTAAGCAAGTATTGACTGATATTTGCCACAAAGATTTCTTGAAATGCATTTTTAGCTCACCTGAGCCGAAGGCTCAAGTGAGCTTTTCTGATCAAAATTTGTCCGTCGTCTGTCGTTGTCGTTAACTTTTCACATTTTCATCTTCTTCTCAAGAACCACTGGGCCAATTTCAACCAAACTTGCCACAAAGTATCCTTGGGGGAAGGGGATTCAAGTTTGTTCAAATGAAGGGCCAAGCCCTCTTCAAAGGGGAGATAATTATGAATTAGTGAAAAATTAATGGCATTTTTAAAAATTCTTCTTCTCAAAAACCACTGGGCCATGAAAGATGAAACTCATGTGGAATCATCATCAGGTAGTGTAGATTCAAGTTTGTTCAACCCCCAGGGGTAGGGCGGGGCCACGATGGCCGACCAAAGATTTACATAGAAATATAGGGAAATTCTTTAAAAATCTTCTTCTCAAGAACCACCGTGCTAGGAAAGATGAAACTTATATGGAAATACCCTCAAATTGTGTAGACTCAATTTTGTACAAATTATGACCCCCGGGGGTAGGGCGGGGCCATAATGGCTGATCAAAGTTTTACATAGAAATATATAGGAAAATTCTTTAAAAATCTTCTCAAGAATAGCAAAGCCATGAATGGTCATATTTATACGGAAGCATCCTCAGGTAGTGTAGATTCAAATTTTTTCAAATCATGGACCCCCAGGGGTAGGGCGGAGCCATAATGGCAGACCAAAGTTTTACATAGAAATATAAAGGAAAAGTCTTTAAAAATCTTCTTTTCAAGAATAACAAAGCCATAATTGATCATATTTATATGGAAGCACCCCCAGGTAGTTTAGATTCAAGTTTGTTCAAATCATGACCCCCGGGGGTAGGGCGGGGCCACAATGGCAGACCAAAGTTTTACATAGAAATATATAGGAAAATTCTTTAAAAATCTTCTTCTCAAGAATAACAAAGCCATAATTGATCATATTTATATGGAAGCATCCTCAGGTAGTGTAGATTCAAGTTTGTTCAAATCATGACCCCCGGTGGTAGGGCGGGGCCACAATGACCGACCAAAGTTTTACATATAAATATAAAGGAAAATTCTTTAAAAATCTTCTCAAGAATAGCAAAGACATAATTGATCATATTTATATGGAAGCATCCTCAGGTAGTGTAGATTCAAGTTTGTTCAAATCATGACCCCCGGGGGTAGGGCGGGGCCACAATGGCCGACGAAAGTTTTACATAGAAATATATAGGAAAATTCTTTAAAAATCTTCTTCTCAAGAATAACAAAGCCATAATTGATTATATTTATATGGAAGCATCCTCAGATAGTGTAGATTCAAGTTTGTTCAAATCATGTCCTCAAGGGATAGGGTGGGGCCACAATGGCCGACCAAAGTTTTACATAGAAATTTATAGGAAAATTCTTTAAAAATCTTCTTCTCAAGAATAGCAAAGCCATAATTGATCATATTTATATGGAAGCATTCTCATGTAGTGTAGATTCAAGTTTGTTCAAATCATGATCCCCGGGGGTAGGGCGGGGCCACAATGGCCGACCAAAGTTTCACATGGAAATATATAGGAAAATTCTTTAAAAATCTTCTTCTCAAGAATAAAAATATCATAATTGATAATATTTATGTGGAAGCATCCTCGGATAGTGTAGATTCCAATTTGTTCAAATTATGTCCTCCAGGGGTATAAGGGTGGGGCCACAATGGCCGACCAAAGTTTTACATAGAAATTTATAGGAAAATTCTTTAAAAATCTTCTTCTCAAGAATAGCAGAGCCGTAATTGATCATATTTATATGGAAGCATCCTCAGGTAGTGTAGATTCAAGTTTGTTCAAATCATGACCCCCGGGGGTAGGGTGGGGCCACAATGGCCGACGAAAGTTTTACATAGAAATATATAGGAAAATTCTTTAAAAATCTTCTTCTCAAGAATAACAAAGCCATAATTGATTATATTTATATGGAAGCATCCTCAGATAGTGTAGATTCAAGTTTGTTCAAATCATGTCCTCAAGGGATAGGGTGGGGCCACAATGGCCGACCAAAGTTTTACATAGAAATTTATAGGAAAATTCTTTAAAAATCTTCTTCTCAAGAATAGCAAAGCCATAATTGATCATATTTATATGGAAGCATCCTCAGGTAGTGTAGATTCAAATTTATTCAAATCATGACCCCGGGGATAGGGCAGAGCCAGAATGGCTGATCAAATTTTCACATAGAAATATGTAGGAAAATTCTTTAAAAATCTTCTTCTCAAGAATAGCAAAGCCATGATTGGTCATGGGACTACTTTTGGATTTAAACTTTTCAATAATAAACCAATTTCTACTTTTTCCTAGCCACAGTGCTCAGGTGAGCGATGTGGCCCATGGGCCTCTTGTTTATAAACTTGATTTCTGATTTTTTTTTTGGTTGTACTTTTGGTATACTAGTTTATATACTGTGCCTGAGTACGTAGGAATCCGAAAATTATGTCACAATTGCTGTAAATAAAATACGAACAGTAATCAATCTAATAGTCCATCAGAACAATACAAACCTGGAGCATAGCAAGCATATGGACCTCTGAAAACATCAGAGGTGAATCAAGTGCCATGGGAGATTAATAATCCCCTGCTTACCGGTCACACCCACCCTGTGGTCCTAGTCATGATAAAAAAAATGATGGTTGATTGTATATTGTTTAATGTTCCTCTCGAGAAATTTTCACTCATATGGAGACGCCACTACTTGCCGGTGGATAGCTACAAGTTTTGACCTATACTCGGCACTCAGGGCCATTGAGCAGAGAGGGATCTTTTTTGTGCCAGCATCTACTGCGACACGGGACCTCTGTTTATGCGGTCTAATCCGAAGGACCGGTCTCCATGTTCCAAAGTGGGATTCGAAACCCCGACGTAAGGATCAACTACTTACTTCGCGACTCTAGAGCTCTAACCACTGCGCCAGGCGGGCGACCAAAATCTGTAGACAATGTAGTGTGTAAATAATGGCCTGAGAATGAAAAAGTTCAGTCAGCATTTGACTTAATGATAGGCTGTATTTGCTAACAGGTTTTTGTTATTGACCATAAAACTTGCAAAATGATGACTCCAAAAAGACCGCGAAAGAAAAAGAATGTAGAATTCTTACAGATTAATATATACCTCCGTTGATATTAATTATGACAGTCATACATGTATGTCCAAAAGTCTTATTAATTACAAATGTTTTATAATGAGGCAAGTATCCATTTTAAGTTCATAATTGAAATCTAAATCATGTGCCACTCTTTCGAGGAGAGAGGATTAAGAGTATAAAAGGAAAGTTGCTTTTCTTTTATACCTAATATTCCCTTGTTAAACTGTGATCGTCCATTGTGGTCCCACCCTGCCCCTGGGGGTCATGATTTGAACAAACATGGTCAATTGATTCCTCAGAAGAGGATTTTTCAATGAAACCATTAATTTTTTGCTTTTCCTAATAATTTGAGGAAGGCGTCATCCTTCATTTTAACAAACTTAAATCTTCTTCATCCAAGAATACTCTATACAAGATTGATTTCAATTATCCCAATAATTCTGGAGATGAAATTGTGAAATTTATAACGACAACAACAATAATAACGACGGCAGACAATATGGGCAACTTTTTATCAGAAAAACAAATTTGAGCCTTCGGCTCAAGATAGCTAAAATACAAATAAAATAATCTGGAAATATCACAGTTCGCATCAGATGCCAAATAGAAGAAAGATTGTTAGAGTAATGAGAAAAATATTGTAAACATCAAAATGAAATACGTTGAACAAATAAAGGTAATAACATTGGAACATAAATAAAGAAGGATAACTCTATGTACTTGCTCTCTTGTATACAACACGAGCCACCTTGTAAATGAATATCTTCATTTTGGGAATTAAATTAGTAAATTAATTTCTTTGATAAGAAGGAAAAATTGATTTTTAGAATATTTTGTTTAAATTGATACCCAGAAAAAAAAACTTTCAAAGATGTTTTACCTACATATAAAACAAAAATGTATAACATTTAAACAAAGATCATTCTGAACTGAATTTTATTCTGAATGTACAGTGTACCTTGATAAGAACAATAGTTTTTTTCCACACCCTACATTTATTATACCCCACGCAACAAATTGTGTGAGGTATAATGTTTTTGACCCGTCCGTCCGTCAGTCCTTTTTTTTTTTTTTTTGTCAGAACAACTCCTCATAAACCACTGCACAGAATTTCGTCAAACTTTGCAGATATTTAGGACGCAATGTGTAGATGTGCAGATTACCAGGAAATTCCGATTGCTTTTATTTTTTCCGAGAATTTCCACACTTTCACACTTAGATTTTTGGCCATACCTTGAATATTGAGATGAAAAGTTTGTCAGCGAAACTCCTCTGAAACCGCTGCACAGAATTTCGTTAAACCGCCATAGTAGCATAAAACAGTACAACATTTAACTCTGGACACGACATACGAGGGTTGATCCAAAAGTTCGTGGATTTTTTTAAATATTTTATTTATTTTGAAGTAGAATTGGTTGAAAATGACAAATAAACGTATAGAAACTTGATGATATTTTAAATTAAAGAAAACAGTTTAAATATCTTTGATAGTAACTCTATGGCAGTTGCCATAGAAAAAATTGTTTGGAAATGCTGGGGAGACATTAAAGCGTTTATTTTCATTTTAATTCTTCATACATGAAATGAAAATTAAGCCGCCCTATGTGGGATATAAAACGAAAATTATGTCATTATTATGATTGCTTGATCTTTTATAAACATTTGTGCGAGAGTTTTACTGATTTTACTGGATATTTAGTTTATCAGTTGATGACTTATTGTTCATCTTCAAGTTGTTAGACAGCGTCAAATTTCGGTCAAGTCATACGTTTTGTAAAAATTCCGGGAACACTCTATCTTAAACGCGTATATTTTTGTCAAAGGCTTTGGAAAAGTTACTGGTTTTCTAGTGGCATAAGAAATTCAAGAAAAAAAGAACTTCCATGGATGTTGATTAAAGGTGTGGTCTCCTTTTGGAGGCTCTGTTTTAAAGTGCACATCCCCCTAGACAAATTAAAAGCCTTAATGGACTTTGTAGGCTGCTTTACTGTTCTTGGAATTGGAACATCACATGGAAAGATGGGTAGTAATTGTAATATGAGTGAGAAATGAAGATAAGTTGGTGCAGGTGGATTCCCAGGCTTTTCTTGAGAAAAAAATGGAGAAAGGGCAGCATTTGTAAGGGTGAGAGGCTTTTATAATGTGATGTGACATTTCTAACTTGACGTTACCTTGAAGTCCCCCTAGGTTTCACAACCATCCATTTCCAGAAAGCTCGTGTAAGCTTATTGATAATTTGAAGTTGGTGAAATTTTCCAATATTGTTGCATCATGACTCTATATTATGAATATACCTCTTGTTTGCTTTAGTCAAATCACGATAAAATTTTAGAAAGAAATTCCACGAACTTTTGGATCAACCCTCGTAGTCTAGACTTTTTACTACCATTTCTAATTATGATATATAATATATTTTTATATC